AACTAATTTACATATTCTCTGTGATAACCAGTTCGGCTTCCGGAAAAACCACTCTACGACGCTTGCCTTGATTGATTTGCATGAAAAAATTTCATCTGCTATTGATCATGGTGAATTAGCGGTTGATGTCTTTTTAGATCTCTCGAAAGCTTTCGATACAGTCAATCATTCCATCTTATTTGATAAACTTGAACACTATGGTATACGTGGCTTGGCTCTGAAATGGATTAAGAGCTATTTTTCCAACAGACTTCAATTTGTAGAATACAATGGTTATGTTTCGTATCGTGCTAATATCATGCGTGGCGTTCCCCAAGGTTCAATACTAGAGCCTTTGTTTTTTCTGCTCTACATCAACGATATAATCAACACGTCAACAATATTACAACTGATATTATTTGCTGATGATACAAACGTATTTGTGTCTCACAAGGATAAAGACTGCCTTACTAATATACTGAACGCTGAGCTAAATAAGTTGTCAATATGGTTTAGAGCTAACAGGCTTTCATTAAACTTGAAAAAAACCAAATTCATTGTATTTAAACCATCTCAAAAGCGTACAAATCAAACTATTCAACTTTTAATTAATAATCAAAAAATTGATCAAGTAAAAGAAACAGTTTTCTTGGGAGTAATCATGGATGAAAATTTAAATTGGAAATCTGAAATCTCACATGTCGCCAATAAAGTTTCTAAATGCACAGGAATTATTCGTAAATCCAGTTTCTATTTATCCACGAAAACCTTACGAACACTATATTTTTCTCTAGTCTATCCATACCTTTTTTATTGCAACTTAGTTTGGGCCTCTACTTACAGAACTAACCTTATTCGTCTTGAGATTTTACAGAAACGAGTGATCAGAACTATAGCTAAAACAACTTTCGATGCACATACTGATCCAATCTTTCAAAATCTTGGTATCTTAAAATTTCATGATATATACTTAATACAACTAGGCTTATTCATGTACTCCTATCAAAACCATACTCTACCTTTAAAATTTCATTGTAAATTTACCTTACAAAGTCAAATTCATTCGTATAATACAAGAAACTCGTGTAAATTTCGTCTGCCTTTCTGTCGTACTCGAACCAAACAATTTTCCGTTTTTTATCAAGGACCTAAATTTTACAACACCTTAAACACCAACATCATCAACGCTTCCTCACCTTTCTCCTTTAAAAGAGCACTTAAGGCATTTATTTGTAATAATTATTAGTATACTCCAACAAAAATCTTGGGAAAAAGCCTTTTAATATTCAACATTTGTAAACTTCCCTAATATTGATTAGTTTAATTTTTCACCTCATATTATATTGTATCCGTCGCTGAATTTTATGCCATCTTCGAAAAATTGTAATTGAAGAGGCCTAATTAGCATAAGCTCTATAGTTTCTTTTAGGCCTCCTCGCCATCTCTTCCTACATTTTTTTTTTTGGCATCTTTTTGTAATTATTGTAATCGTGTGGCAAATAAATAAAATACCTAAATACCTAGCACAATGCACGTGATTATGTACATCATTCTAGACCATTCTAGATACAAAGCGCACATAAGTTTGTATGCAATTGTGAACAAAATATGTCTTCCTTCAATTATATTGTTTTCAACAGTAAATGTTCTCTTTTTCTTGCAGGTTCCATTTCCTCCACCAGGATTTCAATGTTTTGTCTAAGTTCTTGGTACTCTGACCTCTGGTTTGGCGTGGACGAGCATGAGCGCTATCAAGGGGATAAAGCAACAATAGTCCCCAAAAAATAATAAACGAGACTCGCCAAAAGGCGAATTTACGGGCTGCTTCTGCTAACAGTAGGCAGAAATATTGTATTGTATGAAAACGAGAAGTTTACTAAAACAGACAGCCAACTGCCCATTGATCCCGATACATGGGCCCATGGATTACACAATGAGACGATCCTAATTTGCGGTCTACATGCAGTCTACATGAAAACCGTTTTCATGTTAAACGCATTATTTTTTCCACAAGATAAAATATATTCAGTTTTAAGACTTTTCTTTTGTTTTTTTTTTTGTCTGATTCAAAAGAATAAAATCCTTTGCATTTTGTGGCCTATGTTGCTTTTATCGGCACGTACTTTAAACAATTTAAAAATAGATGAAACGATCGATAACATATTTTTTACAGTGATACTAATTTGAGTGAAAAATTCGCTCGAGTTCGTCTTTTGTCTCACCGTGACTTTAAACTTTTCTTCATGGCAGAAAATTATGCCGCTTTACAACTCCTGCGACGTTTTTGGCCAGCTAAACAAAATCGAAACACTATTTCACAGTCCTACGTGCCTTTGTCTACTTCTGATCACATGTTCTTTTTTATAGACAAGATTTATTACAACATTTGCCCTAAGAGCCGAAAGGGTTCATCTAGACAGCTTACGCTGTTTACATTTAATATTTTAAAGATACAAATGCACGTCAAGATCGAACACACACGCACAAAAAAGCGAAAGAATAAAAAAAATAAACTAAACAAAAAATAAATAAATATAAAAAACACAGCAACTAACAGAAGCAATTTGATAGCAAAATAAAAGACTTGACAAGCTGAATCAACCTAACGTTTTAATTGAAAATCAGCAGTAGAAATACCATTTAACAGCCAATCGATTTTTTTTTCTTATCTGAGGCACAATACCATCTATTTCCAAGTAATTGTGCGGCGGTGGGGCTAACTTATATACCATTTTGTACATCAAGCTGAGTTTATGAATTTTTCTTCTAACACTAAGTTCGACCCAAGAGAGTTCATTTAATAGAGATACCCTGTTTGTACCTTTTAAAGCACCGGTTGTAACCCTTGCGCCCTCTATTTGTAAGCTTTCTAACAAATTACTATCAGATTCACAACATCCATCACAAACCACATCAGCATATTCTAAGGATGAACCCACCAAGGATTTGAATAAAACTTCAAGTGTATAACGGCTCAAATTGTATTTCAATGGCTTTAGGAGGTTTAATTTTTTGGAAGCTTTTTTATGAATTTTTAATTTATGCGCCCGCCAAGATAAGGTCAAACCAAAATGTTCATGAACTGTCACATCCTCAATAAATACTATTGTTCAAAATCAAAGGGGGCGCAAAGGCTTATCTCTTTTGCCAAAACAAAAACACCTGATTTGGTCTTAGATTCATTCATAGTCACCAACCACCGATTAGCCCAATCAGATATTGATGTCAAGTCATGATTAAGTTTAGAAGCGCAAATCACTAGGAGACTGAACTTTTTCCATGCAGCAAAAACAATCATCAACAAATAAAAACAGCGAGAGGAAATTGTGACTGGTAGGTCATTAATGTAAATGAGAAACAATGACGGACCTAAGACCGATCCCTGGGGGACACCAACCTCGATGTTACGCAGATCATAATGCACTCCTTCGATCATCACTCTTTGTTTACGACAAGAGAGGTAACTTGACGGTCATCTTTTTTTAAATAACGGCAAAACATTTGCAAGTTTCCAAGCACTTGGATATTGACCAAGTCGAAATGAAGTGTTGATTAAACTTGTGAATGGTATATTAGTGCAGTGGCTTATGGTGATTTTTTGGCGAAATCGCTACAGAGAGGAAGAAAGCACAAAGTTTCTTTTGGTTGCAAGGAACAAATTTACCCACGTGAAACAACAATCCGGGGGCACGTGACATGTGATTTAATTTACCCTTGCATACATCAGCATGAAAGCGAGGCTGAAAGTCAAGGCGAAGCTTTTCGTGCTTTGTTTCGCGATTGAAGATAAACAATATACAGAAAAAAGATCGTGCGAGTGTCTTTATTACTCATCACGCTATTTTCGATGTTGAAAACTCCGTGACCTTAACCATGGTGGGATTTTACACCACATTTTGAATATGTACTATAATTTGTTAAACCATAAAAAGAAAACAGTTTGAAATCGATCCATTTGCTTCTTTCTTGTTCTAGCTTTTTTTTCTTTTCTTCTTTTTTTCCTTTTTATTTCCATATTGAACCTTTCTACGACGCTTTTTAAAGCATAACAAACGAGAATGTTAATTTTACTTGCGAATTTCACGTTGAAATAAAAATGCGGCGTGGAGGCAGCATGACAGGTTTGAGACAGAATTGATTTTGGTTTGCCTTCACCTGACTTTAGTGTCAGTAGCAAACAATACAAATCAACTTTTCCATCCAATTAGAAGGATTATTGCTTTGTTTAATTGTTTAACATTGTCCTGATTAAACAAAACAACAACCCTGAGAAGTTAAACTTGAAGAACGTGGACGATAACGTCTCGGAAGCAAAATTCGAACTATATAAGTTTACAAGTATTTTCCAGCAGTCTACAAACTACAGAACAGGTAAAGGTTTGTTGGTTTCAATACGAGATTCTTTGGTCAGCGAATGGACAAAGAATGAAACTTAAATAGTTGCAGTTAAAATAAGTTTCATTGAATTGTTTTTTTTTTTTGGGTGACAAAGTTAGGTATAGTCATTTGCATAATTGCAACTGATATATTTTTTTATTCCATAAAAAAAATTACAAATTTATGAACTGATTCTCTCCAACGCTGTTCAATTAAAAAATGAGAAAAATATCATCCTGCCAGCACAAAGCTGGCAGGATGATATTTCTTTCTTCTAGGGAGCAAAACAAGCCGTTAAAAGATCGATTAAGTAACTCAATAGCGTGACGTTGATTTCAACCAATCGGATGAAGGTATTAAGGCTGTGATTGACATGTTTTGAAGACTGACCAATCAGGATTATAACATTCGCCTGGTGGATGTTAAAAACGAGAAATACAATGGTTTCCTGGCAGGCGTTTCCTTTCCTCCCTTCTCGAGCGCCCCTGGCGTTTCTCTCACGCCTAAGACTTCCTTTCCCTTCCCTTTCAAACGCCTGCCACGCAGGCTAGACTCGTCTTAAATCGGGCATCTTGAAACATTTTGATGGCGAAACACAAGAACAAAACGATGGTAAAGGTGTTGTACTCATTTTAAATGAAGTGATGGCAACCATCATCAAAGAAAAGTTGTCAGAACTTGATTATGAATCAGATGCTCAAACTTTGGCCAAGGCAACACGTATCATGAGACAAGAAATTTTTATTGAGGATGGATTTCACTTTAATCGGGTATTTCCCAGTAACTGCCAAAGTGCTTCAGTTCCTTCGTGTCTAAAAGCAGTGGTGTCAGTGATTCTTAGTGGTCCAAATATATTCCATCAAAACACAACAGAGTCACAAGCATCACTCACAATATCCCAGCTTATCGTTTTTAACTCTAATAAGACATCGTCCTCACCTTTAAAGGGCCGACATTCGCTTGACCGGGAGCCTCCTTTACCCATGTACATCGGATTGTGCATTCATGCAAATGTGAGAAGTAACAAGATCATCAACCAACTCTACCGCCGCCCGGTTAGCTCAACAGGATAAGCACCGGTCTGGTGAGCGGGAGGCCGTAGGTTCAAACCCCGGCCGGACCAACACTCAGGGTCTTTAAATAACTGAGGAGAAAGTGCTGCCTTTGTAATAACATGTGCAAACGGTTTGACTTTCTAGTCTTCTCGGATAAGGACGATGAACCGTACGCCCCGTCTCACAAGCCCTTGTACATCTAATAAATCTGCGGGGCAGATAAAGAACAGGTAAAGAACAAGGCAGGTAAAGAACCCACGCACTCTTCGTAAAGAGTAGGGCACGTACTGCCCGGTGTAGTGGTTCTATCTCACTTTCACACTCAGGGTTTTCGGTGGCATTTGGAAGTACCGGATGCAGTGTTTCAGCTGGCGGACGTGCACCGTTTGCGCCACTGGCGCGAACGTTGAGTGCCGGATGCACTAACTCCTAAGGGGATCCGGGGGCATGCCCCCCCCCCCCTCGAGAAACGTGTAAAATTGGACTCTCTAAAATGCAATTTCCTGCGTTCCCTGGACCGAAATGGGGTAACCGGAAAGGTCTTTTAAGGCGTTAAAAAATGCTCACAAAAAAGAAATATTTGGCAATCATAATTATCAGTTTGCAGTTGTTCCTTTTTTAGTTGATTCCAAAACGGACTCCAATCGGAAAGAGTGTACGAATCCCAGAGAACCCTGCAAAGCTGCGGCAAAATAGCTCTCTCTTAAGTGCTGCACGTCTAGGATTAATCATTATTCTTAGATACATAATACACTTACTGTCAACTTGTCTTTTCTTCGCCGATGGCGCAAAAAAAATCGCTTAAACTTTTCCTTTCGGTGAGATGATGTAAAAAGATTTACAAATGAAAGGTGAGAAAGACTGATTCGGACAGATGCTCTCTGATCAAAGGTCAGGGTCAGTTGTCGGGCGAAATTGTCTGGTCAGTTATCATAGCTACGTAGCGGGGGAGGGGGGAAGGGATGGGGAATGATGAATAATGATTTTATTATACATGTGTGTGACAGGAATTCTCTCTTTTTTACCGATTGTATGCATTACATAACTAAGTGAGTAAAATAAGGGTCAAGTCTGTCTTTGGTTAATAAATGGTAAAAAACGATTTTCACACTTAAAGAATAATTATTTCGTGTGAACTACCGAATGTTAAATGTCAAACAACCGGACGTTGCGTCCGGCGTCCGGCGTCCGGCCTGAAACGAAACCCCTGCACACTCATGTATGGGGGCATCATTACTCTCTCTTTCATTACTTGTAAACTGCACCTTAGAAGTCTGGCAAAGTCCCCCAACCAGTGTTGTAAATTATCCCTGAAAAGCCCTGAGGGGAGTGGATAGTATGAGATTTACATGTACACTATGCCTACTTGGCATAAGCGTCTCGTATGACAGGGTAGAAAATTTAATCAATGGCCTAGCCTCCACCGAGTGCAATCGATTTAAGCAGGATGGGGTGGCTTGCCCACTCAACTTAAACCATGGCCTTCTTAAACAACTTAAACCTTGGTGCCCTGGACGATATAGACCACAACCCTTCTTCAACTACAGCACAGGGTTCGTTCCATGGCACAGGAATAAGTCTTTTTCGAATCCCAAGCGACACTGTCATCCATCACTCGTCCTGTATGAAAGCTACATTGGGACATAAGCCTATTAAAGAGTTACATAACAGTCCAAGCAACTAGTGTTAAAGACATCTGAACTCGTTGTGCCGGAAATGCCGCCAGCGGAAACTTTCAATGTTGGGCTCAGCATGCATTTGGAGTTCTAGACAAGGAGATTGGAAACAGTACCTTCATCAGTTGGTCTGGCTATCATGGATCCCTACTGAACAAGCAACAGACAACGACTCCAATTGTTTCACGGCTATTGCCCTTATTTAACGAGAGAGCCACTTCTCTGGCAATGGTCAAACAAGGAATGGACATGCAGCGAAAAGCAAAAGAACACCTAAATCCAGGGCAAATTCCCGTGACTGCATTCGATCAACCATAATGTGGCCGTTGATTTAAGGAGAAAGCAAGCACGTGGTAATGTTTGGAGGGCTTCATCTTGAGATGGCTCTTTGGAGTGAATGCGGTGGCTCTTGGAATCTTCAGGCTGAACAGAATCGTTGACGGAAGCTGGAATTGCTTCCTCGGGTACAGCTGATTCATTCTTAAAGGTAAACCACTTGGCAAGAAAAAGACATGCACACCAAATAACAGTCGTTGCTTTGCAAAAACTACAAAGAGAGGCTTTTCTTCAGATTTCTGGTCCTGTTTATAAAGTGGAAGCTTTCGAACAGTGGAACAAAAATATGAGTGACAGAGCCCCACTTTCCATTTTTGGGATATGGTTCTTCGGTTGGAGATTCTCAAACTTATTTTTATAAGATCCCACCGAAAAGGAAGTTTTCCAGTGTATGTTGAAACACTTGAGGCCCTTGATCCATGGTTCCATGCCTTAGATCAAAAGGCATGGAACAAGGCACCTGTCCACACCAGAGACATGAAATCCTTGCCACAAGGTGTCAAAGAAGACCTACAAAAGCACTGGGTCGTCGCAAAGACTCGTAAAGCATTTTCCAGCATGCCAATTGACCAAACCCACGAGCAGAACAACTCCATCCCCAAAGGCTCTGGGGGTGCGGTAAGCCTAACAGAAAATTCAGCAGGGTTTCAAAGGTGGATGGCCTCTGGTCCAGAATTTGCTCGCTTGCTATGAGAATTCGAAGAGCAGTGTCTTTTGACCATGACACTAACAGTGACAAGGCACTGAAGCATCACGATTCCCAGACAACTGCCCAGAAGACGTTCCAGCAACAAGTAAATAACTAGATCAATCTACCAAAGTAGTATCTGGTACACAAGCCTGCAGTCGGTTCAACCTTTGAAGACTTTTTGATAGACTAAAATGAACTTTCTAGTTATGAATCAACTATCTGAATGCCACATTTCTGGTACAATTAGGCTAAATTACGTCAAGTTAAAATATCAGTTTTGTAATGCATACTCTACATCGTAAACCCTCCTTACGTGTATACAATAGCCTTTCAAGAACAACTCAAATTCCTGCCGTGTCCCAATGTACAAAGCCTATTTTCATATGTCAACTGTAATAAGCCTCCCCCGGAAAACAAAAGTGAACTCAAAAGTATTATGTCTTTTACACATTGAGTCCATGAAATTCGCTTATAACGTTAATACATGGCACTAGCTGTAAACGCCTCAAGTCTTCATTGATTTAAGAATGCTTTCCCTTATCCTCGGATCCTTATATTAAAAAGTGATATTAATGAATAAAAACGTGAATCATGTCGTAAACTCGGTTATTGCTTTGGAAACTAACTAAACCACGCAAGAGATGTTTCATTTTTGTAACATAAGCGAATATTAGTCAATAAAAAGCAAGTAAATGTCAATTTCAAGCTTAAAAAAGGTGCTGAAAATGAAATGCGTGTCTAGTCCCCCGGATAATCGGATCATTTCGCACCTCTTTTAAATTTGTTTTTGCATTCGAGGTACGAGAACGCAACCCCTAATTTGTGTTGGGTATTCTGTGCATTTTTAGGTGTCCTGTGCAATTAATAAGGGAGGTTTTTTCGAGACTGCATTTGTTGTGGTCGTCGACGCACATTTGCCTCGCTTTGAGGTGCTTGCTTACGTTTTGCCTCACTTTGACGAACTAACTCACGTGGTGATTCGTGCGTCCTCGGCGTTCATCATTCAAGTATAGTAGACTGTTCACAGTCCCCTATTTTTTCGTGAGATCGTTGAGATATAGCGCGTCTTACCGTTAATGACGGCCATCTTGATTTTCAAATATACGCAGGGGGCGGGCGTCGGGGATTATAGCCTACCGTCTTTTGTGACACTTAGAACTTTTTTCTGCTCAACTGCCGGTCAAGGTTTTCAAAACACTAAATGGCCGGCAGTCCCATATTATCAGTAAATTTCACAAAATCGAAAAAATTCAGCCGTTCTGACCTACCGTAAATCCTCTATTAAGCCCCCCGGGGGGCTTATTTTATTCAAGCACTTTTGAGGGGGGGGCTTAAAAGAGAGGGGGGGGCTTATTTAATTTAGCAAAACGCATCACCTGTAGCAAAAATACCGTGGTATGAGACAGAGTAGACTTATGCGTTGTACAATTAAAGTCACTGTCAAAAGTATTTACTTCACTTCTGGGAGCCTAAAAGTAACAAAAGCAAAATTCTTATTCTTCAAAAATGTTCTCCACAGAGAACTAGAGCGCAAAGTTGAGAAAGTTAAGGATATGAAGTTGGAGGTCATGTGGCCAAAGACCAAAAACAATATGAACTTTTAGCATGAATAAACCATAACTGGTCAGTCCAGATTAAAATCGTCAATTTTTTTGTGAAGAATAAGGATTGGGGGAGGGGGAGGGGGGGCTTAACAGAGAGGGGGGGCTTATTAACTTTCCTCCTCTGAAAAGGGGGGACTTATTGGAGAGGGGGGGCCTTATTTGAGAGGGGGGGGGGCTAAATAGAGGATTTACGGTGTCATAAGTCGTGATCCTGATCAAAGTCTCTACGCGTTAGTTCCCTTCTGGAGCTGAAATACACTTCAACATTATCTTGACGAAGTT